ACATTTGGATGGACACTTGGCGAGGGAAATTATGCCTTTTCCCTAAGCCTCTCTAACACATATTTACAAACAAGCACTTTGCAGATTGAGAGAACAGGCATGAGGGATGTGGTTGGGTTTGCAAGATGAAACAAAGGAATGCTTAATAGTTCCCAGGCCAAGGTTTTAATGTCCTTCCATGACTTCCCAACCTTCCCCACCTCCCACACTTCAGTTAAAGTTCAACCGCTTGGGTTTTGAGTGCAGCATAGCGAGATTATGATTGATACCATCGGGCGCTGAAATAGGGCTTGCTAGTGGGTCAGACAGCCAGGCAAGAGGAAAACAGTGCCCACCCTATTATAAAATCCCTGCCTGTTAGGATAGCACTGGGAGCTGCCAACACAGTGCTGCAGGAAAGGCAGATTCTTGTGTTGTTTGCTTTTTACAAAATCAGGATGCCTTGAATCAAAGAGAGCCCATTGGACCTTCTACTAATGACCTATCACTACTAAGAGAATCTCGTCTTCATGTCTCCCAGTGGAGACTGGCGTGTGGTAGCTTGTCTGACCTTTAAAGAGCATCTTTACTAGCTGGCTGGTTTTTATAGTTCCCCCAAGGAGGGTATAGTCTATTTAGTGTTGTATATTTCCAGCAAGCATTTGTTATTTCAGTGGATTTAATGGATCTGTCCCACTGAAGTGGCTCTTGTAAATAGCACAACCCCTCACACCAGCTCTTAATGGAGACTTGGAGCTGATACGGTCCCAATTAGTATTGCTTCCTGCCTGTCTGAGTGTATGTCCAACAGTGAGCGATGTGTGGTTAAATCAGTGAGCCAACCATGAATCTTAATAGCTTTGGAAATATGCACCAGAACACTGCTCTCTTCTGGCTTCTGCAGTACGAGGCAGGCTTTATGAGTGAGTGGAAAAAAACCAGTCTGTGTTGAGGCCCCTGTGGTAATGGCCACCAGAAGGAAGATCTCCATGAAGCACATGGCCAAAATTATGAGCAGCATAGCTCACCGGAGTGATCATTTGATTTGCTGCCATACAGCTGTGCTCATACACTCTGGCCATTGTCAGCAATAACGGTCATGATAAAACCAGTCAAGTGTCCCTAGAAAAGTATACTTAAAAAAAAAAACACCTAAAGATGAGCGTGTGATGAAGCGATTGTAAACTTTAGAGCATCATCATACTCTTTCCTCGTGTCCCCTCTGAATTCTCAGATTGCAGGAACTGTAACTAGAGCATGTGCTAGTGTCTAGTACAGTCTCGGAACTTGTTAGGCACTTCCAAAATATTTGTTGCATAAATGAATGTTAAATAAAAATTCTCTGCCGTTAGGGCATCTCCTGGAACAGTAGCGTTTTCTGTCGATATGATCATAGTGGGCAAAATGCTATTATTCCAGAAGTTCAGTAGGAGAACCAGGCACGGTATATTCTCTCTCCTTGTAGTCAAACATCATCACCTGCAAATGTCAGGTGATTCACCCAGTCACCTACCGTTTGCAACTTTAGTGTGAGCGCTCCCCCACCCCCGCATTTGTATCATTCCTCTCAGTATTTGTGAGGGCCATGCTCTGAGCCCAGCATCTGTGTGGGTGTGTATTTCGCCTGTATTCTCCAGTCTCTATTATATTTTGGGGGGGCTTCCGTATACACCTAGCCCTCTCCTGGACAACCCTGATTACTCTGTTGGTCATTGCTGGATTCTTCATCTACCTGCCCCTGGGACTATAAGTGTTGTAGTCAGGGGCTTGGCTTTCTTCTCTAACTTCCGAGTCTAATGTCATGTTTGACCCAGGGGAGGTTTGTGTGGGTGTTTGCAGACTGAAGGGGAGAATGCATGAATTAAGGAAATGAGCGAAGGAAACATTTTGGAAATGCCTACCAAGTATTCGTAGTTAGATCATCTTTTTTGTTTGTTTGTTTTTGAGTAAGGATCTCACTCTTTCACCCAGGATGGAGTGCAGTGGCAAGGTCATAGCTCACTGCAGGCTCGACCTCTTAGGCTCAGGTAACTCTTCCACCTCAGCCTCTCGTGTATCTGGGTCTGCAGGCACTTGCCACCAAGGCTGGCTAGTTTTTAAATTTTTTTTGTAGAGATGAGGTCTCACTATGTTGTCTAGGCTTGTCTTGAATTCCTGGTTTCAAGCATTCCTCCTGCCATGGCCTCCCAAAATGCTGGGATTACAGACCTGAGCCACTATGCCCAGCCCAATTATTGTTATTTTTAAATAACTTTTAACTGGGTATATGTAAGATATACAACATAATGTTATGGGATCCTACAGTGAAGCAAATTCACAAATCCATCATCTCACAGAGGTACCTGTTTTTTGTTTAGTTTTTTGTTTGTTTTGTAGCAAGAGCTACATGAATCCCATATACAATACAATTTTATAACCTATTGTCCTCATGTTGTGCCTTAGATCTCTAGATTTGTTCACATAGTTAGACCATCTTTAGGCACTTGCTTTCAGATTATGGCTGGGAAGGCAAGGCCCACCCTGAGGCACAGGACACAGGGATGCTGTAATTAGCCTGTCACTAAGACCTGTTGTCTGCCCTTGACTGCTGTGGATGTGATGTCTCGCTCATGCATTTTTCATGACCAGATGAAGAGCTCAAAAATAAGATGAAAATTATGTTTATAGAGATGTAGCACTAAATTATGTTTATAGAGATGCCTACTTTACAGGTTGCCAAAAGGCTAAGAGACATAGGGTTTGAAATGAACTAGATTTTAAGTCTGATAGGTAAGCCAAAAAATGGAAAGGTTTTTTTAAAACACAGTCCGTGCTCTTAGCTCTTCCCTTACTGCAGGGCTGTTCTCTGTGGTGCCAATGTGACCTGAAAGCTTTGGGTCCAGGGTTTGAAGGTGAATGAAAAAAGCTCAATGAATCAACCAAACAAGGGTTAAATAGCACCAGCCTAGACAATATAGCGAGATCTCATCTCTACAGTAAATTTTAAAAATTAACTGGGTATGGTGGCACACACCTATAATCTCAGCTATTCAGGAGGCTGAGGCAGGAGGATCACTTGAGCCCAGGAGGCTGAGGTTGTGGAAAGCTATGATTGTGCCACTGCACTCCAGTATGGGTGACAGAGTGAGACTCTGACCTAAAAAAAAAAAAAAAAAAAATCTGATGAAATTGTTTTCAGGACACATCATTGTGCAAAATTTTTTTTGTTTTTTGAGTTGGACTCTATCACCCAGGCTGGTGTGCAGTGGCACACTCACGACCACCACAGCCTCGACCTGACGGGCTCAGGCGAACTTCTCGCCCCAGACTTCCAAGTAGCTGGAACTACAGGCATGCACTATCACGCCCGGCTTATTTTTTTTTTTATTGTAGAAACAAGGTCTCACCAAGTTAACAAAGCTGGTCTCAAAACCCTAGACTCTGGCAATTCTCTCACCTCAACCTCCCAAAGTGCTAGGATTTCAGGCTTGAGCCACCGCGCCCAGCCTAATTGTGCAATTTTACAGCAGTAAGTGATTTAACATTTTATTTTAAGTAAAAATAATACATGTGGTGTCAAATGAAAATAGTACCAAGAGAATAATATAGTATAGTCAAGTTTCCTCCAAGACTACCTCTTAATCATCAATGTAGTGACCACATAAATCTGCGTGCTCAATTCTGTGATAAATTACCTTCAGATGGCATTGATGGACTACCACCTGCTATATAAAATGAGGATAAATTTAGCTCACTTACACTCCTATTCTTATCAATATCTTAATAATAAAATTCTTATTTGTGGCTTTTCTGTTGGCCAATGCTGTAATCTTTAATTTCTTGAGTTTCCTTTTTTTTTGAATCCATTGATTTCTGTTGTATCTCTTGATGTCCCCTGCTGCGAAATAAAGAAGCTGATGCCCTCACTACACTTTCGACCTCCTGCTTCAGACCTTATCTCTACCAGCTCCTCTTATACTTTTTTTGCTAACATGGAAGTATATTAACATTTATATTCTGTCCTTCAAGGAGAGATTTGAAAGATGATTTACAGGGAACATTGAAAACTGAAGATATTAAATGACTTGTGTAATGGTCTCTTAATTGGTTAATGTTAAAGCTGGGGCTAAAACCTGGGATATTTGTCTCCCAATCTAGTGAGCTTTCTGCAGAAAAACTCATGGATTTATTTATCAAATGTTCATTGAATGTGTATTCTCCACCAGGCACTATACTAAGTACCAGTAATACAACATAATAAGAAACACCCTCATATTTCATACTTCATAGTCAGAAAGACAGATATGCAAACAAATGACTAGGTTTCAATTTGATAATGTGCAAAGGAAGGTGTCATTTATTTTTTTTATCTCACAGGTCAAAGATTAGACAAACTGATACAAGTATTAGAAGTGACAGCTTTACTGTATTTAAGAGACAGTGTTTTACCCAGCTTATCTATGCACAGTTAAAAAAATAAGTAAGACTTCATTGATATTCTTTCAGGAAGGTAATTTAAATGTTTGAGATTAAACATGAAAGCGGATTTCAAAAATAAATTTATAATTAGAAAGTAAATGTATGTTTTATGTGCTCAACATGTTTTCATGAAAAGAGTATGAAGCCGGGCTCAGTGGCTCAGCCTGTAATCCCGCGCCTTTGGGAGGCTGAGGTGAGTGGATTGCCTGAGCCCGCGGGTTCGAGACCCGCCTGGGCAGCGAGACCTCATCTCTACAATAAATCAAAAAATCAGCCGGGTGTGGTAGCGCATGCCTGTAATTCCGGCTACTCGGAAGGCTGAGGCGGAAGGATCGCCAGAGCCCAGCAGGTCGAGGCCGGGAGCGGCCACTGCACTCCAGTCTGGGCGACAGAGTGAGACTCCAACTCAAAAAAAAAAAAAAAAAAAAAGAGTATGAAAATATTCTTCAGTAGTTCTTATAAGTTTAAAGTAATTTGATTTCAAGTCTAAGAGTTATACATTTATTGTACATTTTTCCTCTGGTGACTTGTGAACTTTCTCCTTTGTTTTCTCCCTCCTTCAGATTTTCATCACCGTGAATTGCCTGAGTACAGATTTCTCCTCCCAAAAGGGGGTGAAAGGACTTCCTTTGATGATTCAGATTGATACATACAGTTATAATAATCGTAGCAATAAACCCATTCATAGGGCTTATTGCCAGATCAAGGTCTTCTGCGACAAAGTGAGTAAAGATGACAGTTTGTCTTAAAGGTATCTTTGTTATTAGATATCACTTTTAATGGCATTTCCCCCTTGTCACCTCCTCTTGTCTAGTAGTGTCAAAATAATCACTTTATCAGTCACAGTAGGAATGACAATCCTTTATTCTCAATTCCTGTTTTATGTCCAAAGAGTTATCAGTTGTATTTCTTTTTAGTTAATAATTTTTATCACCAATTTAATGACTGACATTGCACTGTATCTTAGTCAACTCAGGTTGCAATAACAAAATACCAGAGACTGGATGGTTAAAACAACAGAAATGTATTTTTCATAGTTCTAGAGGCTAGGAAGTTTAAGATCAAGGTGCCAGCCAATTTGGATCTGAGTGAGGGCTCTCTTCCTGACTAGGAGACAGCTGTCTCCTCACTGTCTTCTCCCATGACATAGAGAGAAAGAGAGAGGCTTATGTGCAAGTTCTCTGTTAAGGGCACTGATTCTATCATAAAGACTCTACCCTCAGCCAGGCTTGGTGGCTCGGGCTGTAATCCTGCACCTTTGGGAGGCTGAGTGGATTGCCTGAGCCCGCGGTTTCGAGACCCGCCTGGGCAACTTGGTGAGACCTCATCTCTACAATATATCAAAAAATCTACCGGGCGTGGTAGCACGTGCCTGTAGTTCCAGCTACTCGGAAGGCTGAGGTGGAAGGATCGCTGGAGCCCAGCAGGTCGAGGATGCAGTGGCCAGGAGCGGCCACTGCAATCCAGTCTGGGCGACAGAGTGAGACTCCAACTCAAAAAAAAAAAAAGACTCCACCCTTATGACTTCATCCAAACCTGATTACCTCCCCAAAACCTCAGCTTCAAATATTATCACATTGGGGGTTAGGACTTCAGTAGGTGAATTTGGAGGGGACACAAACATAACACACTGTGCTTTGAGTCTGATTCAATTAGATAGTTGAAATAAGAAATTAATAGTCTTTTGTGGGTGGAGATCCTGTCTCAGAGCACATCAATGCAATCTTTATTGTTTTATGGATTAAATGGGGCCTCATCCAGGATTCTTTGGAATGAAAATAGCACTTATAAAATAAGTTTGCTTATACACGTGCACTCAGTAAACATGTACTTTGAATCTCCCTGAATCCTACCATAAAAGAGAGAACAATTAGAATGGCAAGACTTAAAATCCTATGATTAGGTGAGAAGAGATTATCACAAGCCCCAAATGTGAATGGTGATAAGCATCAATTAATTTCAAGACCGTGTGATACTGACATTTGTGAGGAGAGATAATGAAACCACTTGATGACCAAAGAACAAGAAACCTACAAAATTGCTCAAGGTACTCACTGGAAAGTAGAGTGGGCCTTTTGAGGACAACATGTGAGACTTGGGTAGGAAGATGCAGATTCTGCGGGACTCCAATTTGCTGATGAATACAGAGGATAGAGCATTGGAATGTTGTGGGTTCATGAACTCTGTAAAGTTATCAATTGAAGTTCCCTTCTAGGACAAAGTTCTGTTCTGGGGGAAATACTGATGAGAATAAAATCCAAGTTGAGTTGGGGGGAAAAAGGTGAAAAGGAAGAAGTTCAAAATAAAAATGAAGGTGAAAGGTATACAAAGTAAACAGATCTCAGAAAATACAAGACTATTTTTGTATCACTTTGTGTACACACCAGAAGAGGGAGCGTGAGAGCCATGAAGCTAGAAGAAATCTTGGCTCACTCATTTCACTTAAAAATGACCAACAGAAAAGAAAAAAAAAGTTAAATACCATACAATGTTTCACAAAAAAAAGATTAAGATCAGACGAACTTTTCTGTGGACAGTAAATGCATATCAGAATGACATGCCCACAGGTGAAAACTATAGCCTAATTAAGGAAATGATAGAAGTTATGAAGAGCAGCATAAATAATCTAAAAAAGATGTCTGAAAAGCAGAATGATTTGAAAAAGATGTGCTAGAACTCAAAAAAGAATTTAGAAATACAAGATTGAAATATGTCGAAAAAAAGACTACTCTAAAAGCAATGCAAGAGTGAGTAAATATAAAAGATAGCCTCAGAAAATACAAATTGGAAAAGAGCAAAATTTTAGAAACCTGAAGAAATGAAGAAAGATGTGTGAGAGAAAAATACAGCTATAGAAGAAAGGTAAAGGTGATTCGCTATACATATGATAGAAATCACTGACGGAAAAAAATGCAACAGAATAAATACTAAAAGTGATAAATCAGGAAAATTTAAAACAGAAAGCATACATATTTCAATGACCCACCACGCACTTGGAAAAATTGATCCATATAACTTATACCAAATAGTTAAGCTATTGGACTCTTTTTAAAAAGGAAAAATATTATTTGAGCATCTAAGTAAAGTAAATAAATAAAAATATTAAATCACTTATAAGGAAACTTTTATTATCAAACTTCTCAACACTCCCTTGTTGGAAGGTAAGTAGTCAAGTAAAGAAAATGTGAGATTTTATATGCAGTCACATTGGCTTTCAAGTGTAAAGACTGCAGGCACAAACAACACAAAACAAAATAAATAAAACAGACATAAAGTCCAGGGAAGATTTCTTCATGGGGACTCTAGTGGAGAACAAATATATAGCTTTTTTTGAAAATATTTTTCATAAATTTTCATTCACAGTTATTTTAATTCCCAAAAGGGAGAGGGTGAAAAAAAGGGGATTGTATGGGTTTCTCCAAAGCATGTTTCCTGAAGTCCTGTTAAGAGGGTAATCCGTACCTAGGCGAGAAATGGTTGGAAAAACCACTTATTTGTATGAGCATGCTTGTAATTATGCATAAAAGCTGGGAAGACTCATGTTAACAAACATCTTGACAATCAGAAAATAGGTGGCATTTCAATAGCTCCCATTTTAAATATCAGTCTAGTAAAGTCAGGGTTAAGTAGCAGCAAATGGTTGGAGAATGTTGGGGAAATGATTGGTAGTTATTCCAAGGAACTAGTATGTAGGGTTTCTAGAATAGTTAATTACACATCCTGATGCTAAGGTTTGGGGATGCTGTGTCAGGAAAATCATAAGGAGGAAATTTCATGGGCTGCACGGGGCAGATGAGCCGTAATTACCATCAATTTTTCTAATAAACTAGACACAAAATCTTTTTTGTTGTTGTTGTTGTAGTAATTTGTCATCATATGTGTAGTTCTAATTTCAAAGGCCAGGCAAAACTTACACCTGGGAAATTAAAAAGAGAAATACAAGGTTTAATTTTTGTACTTCTCAAGCAGGTGTGTAAATACAGACACTTAATTTGAATTATTCTTTAAAGCGAAAGAGCTGAGAGGTATTCCATTTTAAAACTGTAAGCTTCCTAATCACAGTCTAGAGTCTTACGAGGAAGAAAATCTGCACTAGTTATAATTCTCCAGCTTGATTTCTAATTGATAACAACTGTGAGGCTACAGATGAAAATAAGGGCCTTCTCTAATTTTTCTTGGTATTATGATAATTCTATTCAAATGCATATGTTTATGCATTAAACAAAATCCAGGGTGTCTTTATATATCTACCTATATAAATGTCTATGTGTATTTCTTTATACTTATATTTAATTACTTCTATAATCTTCCATGAAGATTTTGTTTTACTGCAAGAACTATATAGTACAGAAAAAATGATACATGAAGCCACATTCTTAAATTAAATTTAAGAGAAACAATTTTAATGTTAAATAAAAAACAAAGATAGGCATCACCTCGCAAATGGTGGCAAAACTATCACAATATAGTCAGGAACTCTTCAGCTATAGTTTCCAAATTTGACACTCTATAGTGAACATTTAGATGGGGTGTTCCAATGGTAAATTTGGTATTTGTTGTAAATTATGCACTACTGGAAGAACTTGAATTTTTTTTGCACGTTAATAAGAGTAGAAAGAATATTTTCCATGCTTCAGGTCACAAATAATCATAGAAAGGAAAGGACTTCTTGGAAGGTTTTGTTCAAAGGAAATTTTTCCACCTTGATTGAATGTATCAAAGCTTCCCTGGGTCATTGTGAAGTCAAAAGCTTTATTTATAAAAGTAAGAACTGTGGTTCTTTCAAGAGTCTGTACCATAGAATTGTTCTGTCATATTGATACCTGGGAATTATGGGCAGGAAATTTTACGTGTAGAAGTGACACCAAGATTCTACTCTATAGAGAGCTATTCTATATTTTATGCTATGTTAATCTTTTAGGTTTGGCATATCAAAAAATGTCTGAAAAATAAGTAGATGACTTTCCTAAAAATCTACTTTGAGCATACAGGTAGACATTGTTTCATTGCACTTTGCTTTACTGCACTTAGCAGATGTTGCATTTTTTGCACAAATGGAAGGTTTGTGGCAACCCCACATCAAACAAGTCTATTGGCATCATTTTTCCAACAGCATTTGCTCCCTTCATGTCTCTGTGTCATTTTGTGGTAATTTGCACAATATTTCAAGCTTTCTCTGTATGATTATATCTGGTAAGGTGAACTGCAACCAGTAATCTTTGCTGTTACTATTGCAATTATTTTGGAATGCCACCAACTGTGCCCATATAAGACGGTGAACTAAATGGTCAATGTTGTGTGTGTTCTGACTGCTCCACCAACCAGCCACTCCCTTGTCTCTCTCCCTCTCCTTGGGCCTTCCTATGACCTGAGACAAAACAATATGAAATTAACCCAATTAATAAGCCTGTAATGACCTCTTGGTATTCCAACTGAAAGAAGAGTTGCACGTCACTCACTTTAAATCAAAAGCTAGAAATGACTAAGCTTCCTGAAGAAGGCATGTAGAAAGCTAACATAGGCCTCTTGTGCCAAACATTTAACCAGGTTGTGAGTGCAAAGGAAATGTGCTTCAAGGAAATTAAATGTGCTACTCCAGTGAACACACAAATGATAAGAAAATGAAACAGCCTTATTGCTGTTATGGAGACAACTTAGGAGCTCTGGATAGAAGATCAAACCAGCCACAGCATTCCCTTAAGCCAAAGCCTAATTCAGGGCA